CTAGTGAGGGTGGAAAAAGTGTCGAAATTCATAGAAGAATCATCCCCTGAATCGATTTACATATACCTGTAGAAACGTTTTTTTTAACCCCACCGGCAATCGTGGAAATTAGCTACTGAAGGTGAAAAAATAGGGTCGAAATTTATAGGTACAGATCGACTGAGTCGATCTACATATATTAGTTGAGACATTTTGAAAACCCCTTTGATCTTGTTGGAAATGGGCTTGTGAGGGTGGCAAACCAAGGTCGAAATTGATAGACACAAATCGATTGAGAATCATCGCCTGAATCGATTTAGATATAATTGTAGAGACTTTTTTTCACCCCTTCGGGCATCCTGGAAATGGGCTAGTGAGGATGGAAAAACCCCCCATTTTACCCAGAAGTATTCTATTCTTCATCTCTTCTCCCTCTCACCCCAATTTCAACCCTTCATATCCCCTCTCCCTTCCCCCTAAAACCCCCAATTTCCGTCAAAGCATCAATCCCGTTTTTATTCTTTCATTTCACCCTCAACCATGCCTACAAAAGCCATGTTTATACACATACCCCTTTCTCAATCCCAGTTTCACCCTTGCACCCATGCTCTACCCTCACACATCTATTTAACCCCTAAATTAGCAATTTTCCCTCCCAACCCCATTTATTAGTACCTTAAAATTATCCCCCCAAACGTGCCCCTCCTTCGTACGCTCCTGATCACTTCTCCCGTGAAACTCATTTTTGCGGCTTGGGGACAAGTGAATCGAAATAGGTTTGGTTGAACAAGTACCCGTCTGATTCCGAGGAGCCTATAATCTGTGTACACCAAGTCCTGAAAATACTGAATTGATAACTTAGCTTTGGTCGAAAAAGCCATAGTAATGTTCAATGAGACAAAAAATGTTGATGAGAGTTCATTTGCCAGAGAAACCCAAACTGGTGAAGTAGCACCCAAGGTATATTGGTATATTCAAATGTGAACATTGAGAGATACAACTGATTATTGCTAATATTGTTAATGTGATATGGACACTCCTCTAATAGGGGGGTGAAGAAACCTGCTGAAAGAAAAGTCACATCAAGACTAAGAATTTGATTTGATCCTCCATAGCATTTTTTATTATGAAGATGCATCTTCAGTTTTTTCAAACTTGTAACTAACAGTGCACAAATATAAATCCAAATCTGTCTGATACTAGAAAATCTCATAATAATAATAATAGATTAGTGAGCTCACTCCTGGGTGATGAGATAATATCTTAATATAAATGAACTTCCAGGAGGAATCGTTTCAACTGGAAAAGGCTTCCTCTGTAACAGGTCCTACATCAGGCGAGGGCTTGTGGCCCTATCTGAAGCTATACTTCTTGAAACCGGAAAATGATTTTTTCTGAAGATTTTGAGAAGACATTTTTTTGAGAAGATCTTCAGAAGACTATTTTTTTTTGAGATTTTCGGAAGATGATTTTTCTGAAGATTTTGAGAAGACATTTTTTTGAGAAGATCTTCGAAAGACGATTTCTTTTGAAGACCTGTAGCCATTTTTTTTATCAATCTTTTGAAGGTTGAAAGAACGTATTTTTTTCGCACTTATATCACTCGGTCCACCCTAACCTCGTACTTTTATTGCCCTAGGGGGCTAAGTGTGAGTACTCCCGAGCAATAAAAGTGGGAGGTTAGTCGGACCTCGTAACATAAAATAACGTATGCTACACGGTGTGAAAAGCATTCTTGCATTTTAGGCATGATCAATAGTATAATGTATTTTTTGTCTCTAAGGCGCGATTTTGGGAGGGAGCGGGCGGGACGGGTTTTTTTTCGGGGGGGGGGGGGCTTCAAGCATTAACAAAAAAATCAACAATATTGACAAAATTTGTTCATATTGAGTTCTGATGAACGTCATCGTCGCTGTCTGCAGCCATTGTTTTTTCCCAAAAAACTTTACTTTTACTCGACATTTAATTATTATTTCTCAAGAACAAATTTTTATCGCGACCGATATTCGTTGATGATAGACACTGATATAATTGACTGACAACCGACATTAATTAACGTCGGCAATAGGTGGCGTGGGCGTTCGGAGGCAACGTCCTGATAAATAAGTAAGGAAGACAGGCTTAGGCCGATAAGCGACAAGTCGAGCAGGCCTAGGCCGATAAGTGAAACGGACGATAAATGTCACCTTATCGATCCGAAAATGGACCGATAAGTGGAGCTTTTCGGGCCTGAGTGACAAAAAATACTTTTCATCACGCTGTGCGGAAAAGTGACTTTATACGCACAGTTGACGTTTCTAAAAGTGCCTATAAATCACTTAATCCACACATTGTAAGGGGAAATATTGTTCGAGACATAGGTAGCAAAGTGTTCTTTAGCTCATAGGGTTATATCACTCGCCTTCGGCTCGTGCTATAAATTCCCACGAGCTAAAGACTACTTTGCGGCACTTGTATTTAAATATACCATTTCAGCCCTCGTAGCATAAATTACTATTTTTACCTTTGAAGTTTCAATTTTAACCGACGGCCAGTAGTGGCCTAGTAGGCGGTCGCAGGGTCGAATCCTAGTTCGGTTGAGTTTTTCAAGCTGCTGACAAAGACTGGCAAAGACTCGGTCCTTGCAGTTTCATTTCGCTTTTTTTTAACATTCGCATATTTGAGTTTGGTTTTTTTTACGTTTGCTTACGAATAGAAGCTTTGAAATCGTTTAATTTTACATTTTCTAGTTTTCATTGGAAATGATGAATACTGGTTTGCAACGTAAAAATACTAAGTTCGGAGAGAATTTTGGTAGCCTCTCAAGGCATTGCGGGAACGCCGCCAAAACGTGTAGCACACAAAAACAATGGTTATCTAGATGTTTGGATTCAAACACCTTTGAGTGATTCCAGTATGGCTTCCAATGTGCATTCTCTGAATTATCAGAATGGTATTCAGGTTTTTAACCTTATTAAAGAATCCAAAATATAACCATTCAATATAATTGATAATCATTAAGCCTAAATGAAACCGAAATGTTTTTCATGCATTAGATGTTCTTATTGGTGAATGGATCTATGTATATCAATCAAAACCTATACAGGCATTCCTATAAAGTTTTCGAGATATTTCATCTTTTCTGTTTTTTTTTGTTTTTATCGTTGTACGCGCTCACAAAAATGGAGATATCAACATGAAATTTGGAAACAATCTTTGTTTAACGATAATGATAATTTTTATTCCAGATGAGCTCAATTGGCACAGTAGTTCCGAAATTCTTTGATTTTTTCTCTTGAATATTGTGTATGGCAAGGCTCACTGGAATTTGTCCCCGGCTGGCTTTTTGTGTCTATTACTTTTTCCTGTGATAGCATTGCATCGTTTAATAGATATTTATTTTGCAATGTTGATGCTGAATGGAATGAGTACGGATCCATTCGGACAGCTTACTACCAAAGAGGGTGGTATAAATGAAAGATTTTTTGAAACTAATACAAAAAAATATATCAAAACTGACAGCCCAAATATCATTCGCCAAACAGGCTCAGTCAGCTGCTTATTTGACATTTTTCCTCCTGAATTTTTTTCAACAACTCTTTCTCATGAAATGTCACATGGTGAATTTTTGGGTATTGAAAATTTGAATCCGTCAATTTTCTACCTTCTTATATTCTGATCCTCCATTTTTTTATCGTCGTATATTTTAAACTTTGAAATCTCAAATTTGCAAAATAATTTAAATATTGGTAAAAGTCGCCAGCTCCTGAAATTTGTCTCATTATCTACGATAATGACCGTCACGAATATTCTCAAATTGCAACGCTTTTCGCGGGTTTTGTAACTTCTCTTCGTCGGCCATTTTGTAACTTCTCGGTCTTCATGATGGGTCTTTGCCGCTGCATTTGAATACTTTAATTATTGTGTCCATCCCGATCATACTGCGCCGTTACTTGATGAGTCTTTCTGCTCATGACTAGCTACTTGAAACTTGCAATCTTTATGTGCTGCGAGATGCTATGGCATAAAATAAAATGAGATAAGGTATTAAGTTTACTGTTTATGAGTTTAAACAAAATAAAAAGAGAAATCAAAAGTAAAAATAAAGGTAAAAAGGAGCAAAGAGGTGTAAGTATATAAGAAAAACAGCAGAGTAAAGAGTACTCAGTTAGGGATGGAAGTGATGTCAACACGTCGACACTATACTAGGCCTCCCTCTCTAGCAGCCAACGTCTTAAGTGACACGCCATGACTGTCGGCTGGTTACTGAGGCGTTCATGGATGCTGTTTCAAACTTCAGGCCCAGCAACTGTCAAGGCAGCTCTATTGGTCTCCGTACCGAAATTGGGGACTAGCAGAGCCTGTTGGAGCAAGACGTGCCGACGAGGTCTGGGAGAATGAGTAGACAGCAAAAAAGTCAGCCACGATAGACGGAGAGCCACATTCGAATACCCGTAACATGAGTGATGTAAAAAACGGGGTCCTGTAGTTGAAGTTGGAAAGCACCCAAGGTCGCATCTGTTGCCACCAATCGAGGCATGCCTCGGTAACCTGACGACAAATCTCACGACTCTATTTACCATGCGTTGGAGCTGCCTATCCAGTACTCAGCCGATTCCTTGTAAGATGAGGGCATTTACGTTAATGAGCTCAACACTGGAGAATGTTCTCCGTTGATTCAAGCAAATGTATTACCCAGCGATTTGATTATCGGGTCAACTTACAGACATGGTCAATTAATATAATTATTGAAAGTGAAATAGTATATTAAATACCTAATCCAGTAAAACAAGAAATGACTCAGATTACATGACATTGTTGGCCGAGACGAAGCCGAGTTTGGCATAAATGTGATCTCAGGAATTTATTTTTATTGGCCATAGCCTGTAGATGATTTTTCTGCTCGAGAAGACAGAAAATTTCAACTTTCTGACAGGAGGACAGAAATTTGTTATTATTCTCAATTAAATGAAGTAATTCACAAACAAATTTGGTATTCAATTTAATATGAAAAGGAATTGCAAAAGATTGTGTATTGAACAAGAAGTTAAATCGAACAGTAAAACAAGTTCTAAACTATTTTGTTAACAACAACCACTTCCGCCTTTCCTCAAACTTCATTTAGTGGCTCAAAGTTTCAGCAGCTAAATTCCTCTGAACTATCCGTGATACTGAAAACGATAATATCATCAAGACAATTTATGGGTGGAGGGGTTCTATACCAATGATATTATGTTGGGTTCATTTTCACTATGGTATGTTCGCCTGTAATGATTTGCTATCTAACGAGAACCCAGCTAAGGGCTTGAGCATGTGGAGTAAGTCAATGCTGAAAAGTCAACTGTATATCGTGACCCCTCCGGTCTCAATAATATTTCAACGATTTATAAACAACCAACCTTATCGCCTGTTTTCTCAGTCTCTTACTCCCGCTCCTACTTTCCTCTCCTCGAACTATCCTGCTCCTACTCCTACTCCTGCTCCTGCCTCTGCTCTTACTGCGAGCGCACTTTCTATCGCTTATAATCCTACTCGTACTTCGCATATCCCTCCCATCTCTTCTGCCCTTGCTACTGCTCCTTCTGCTCGACGAGCCCCTCTTCCTACTTCTGCTCTGGCTTGAAGATCCCCTCTTTCGATCCTTCTTGCCCTTGCTTCTGCTTCGCTCGTTTCTCCTTCTATGATTCTTGGTTCTGCTTCTGCTCCGGCTCCTGCTCCCGACTTTCTTCCTCTCCTCCGAACTTCTATTTTTTGGCTTTGAATCTTCCGCAATTTCATCTACAAATCGAATGGTAAGTTTTGGAAAAAAATTTCTGGCAATGTAGCGAACTTATTCGTATATTTGTACTGTACCAGGCTGAAACATTGTTTTGCTCTCGGTTTCGTAACCGAATTCTGTATCAGTGACACGTGTTTGCCGAATATTGCGTTCTGTTTTCGTCGTAGAATATTCGCTATGTATTTTACAATAATATGGGCACCTCCAAGGAGATGAATATTACCGCTGTGGCGGTGGCACACTTACATTCCATCTCTTATGGTGTCGACCAAGTAAGTTCGTTGTGAATAAATCTATTCTATTCTAGGCGTTAAATCGAGTGTTAGATCATTATTAATTTCACTAAGCCTACTCCCAATGACACAACAAACTACCGGAATTCAATAGACATTTCAATTGACAACGGCAATTTCTTTGAGGGACCAGTGATAAACAAAGCATTATTTCACATCTCGAGCCCTCGATATCACAATATGCACGCAATACAACGTCGATTCACATCTTAAATGTGCGTATGGACCGGAGATATACGCCTCAAGGAGGCATTTATCAAGACACACGTTCCAAGAAGCATTTCGACCAAGAGGTTTTCGGCGACAGAAAGTCATAATAGTTTCTACATCAACTCAGGATCTTCTATGATACAGTTCTAATGCTCATGCTTCTGTTAACGACATCGCTGTCTGTTCTAGTAGTACGAGCCCACATAGTGCTTAACGTGCTCGTTACGCTCGTCAATAAGCTACATGACATTGCACTGCTGGTATGGCCCATCAGCGTCGTTCAGAAATGAACAACTTCGACGGTCGAAAGACGTACTCTTCGACTCGAAGCTTCGATTAGCGAGCTAGCGCCTGAAGGCAAGGAACAGCTTATCACGCACCTGCTTGCGCTTCCGCTCTCGGGAAACCTCGGCAAAACCCAAAAACAACTTGTCCCAAGATCGGCTTGATCGCTACTCGAAAATGTTTCCATAGATTTTTAACGGCAGTCAACGTTCCCTCACTCAAATCTCGGCCTCAGCATGGACTAAACTAGCTATTATTGCTGATTTTTAGGGAGGCATTTCAGTATTTCATTTCGCCGGAAAAACGAATACCTTATCGATCCAACAACGCGAGACATCGTGCAAAATGTCGCCATCGAGTATCATGTTAGAAACTTGAGCGGTGCCCGTCGACTCGAAATTACATGCCAAATGAATTTCATTAGTATCAAATTGACTTTTTATCGTGAGAGTTCAGGTGATTTCGGGGTCAGTCGGATTTGGGGACATTTGACCAAGCAAATGCTTCATAGTTTACGAGTTACGATTGAGATTTTATCGAGTACAGACGTGTTTTTTAGTGTGTTCGATAGACGCTCAACCGTTTTTCTGAGTATGTTTCCGAGCCTATTTTCAGGTTTATTCACGTTTAGTTTCCGAGTTATTCAAAAAATAATTTTGACATTAGCGATTCAACAAGGTCATAAAAATTCAAAAAGTTACAACCAGACTTTTGTACGTTAGACGAGTTTCACACGATTTAAGCTAAATAAAGTACAAAAAGTTGAGATACTTGAAAAAAATCGAGTAAATTGTGATTGACGCCAAGTGCACACAGCAACAGACAGCCATCCAGTGACTCAATAAGCCGAAGCCTTGCCACACCATCCGCAGTCATCGAAGCAGTGAACAACGCCAGCAGCCGATCAGATACCATTGACATCCCGAAGGCGCGCAATGAGGAATAGGAGGAGGAGAACAATCAACCAGACATTCCACAGTCGGATGAGTCTATTCAAAGTATTGTTCCTATTATTTCTATTGTAGAATTGAATCAATTAGACATAATCAATTAGATTCTTCTATAGCGGATAGCCACAAACAAGCACCAATCAAATAGAGAGTATCTACAGCAGATTGCTTGATTACGGAGATTACAGGCATTTAAATTTCATCGCATCGAGATGCAGCTAGATTCTCTATCCAGCACTCCACCAGAGCATTTTTGTGCAACAGAGAAATTCAACAGTCTTACCGTAGGCGAATTGGAGAGGACGGAGACATTCATCCATGCCGATTGATCGGAGATTGCGCAACGTGTACGTCAGTCTGAGCGAAAATTGCGTCTCGCCCACGAGTGGCCAATATGAATATCAACCGTATGCGAATGTTCTTCCATTTCATGGGAGAAACCAAGAAGAGGGCGGTCATCTTACAGTTCATCGACGCAGAGTCAATGTCACCAATTAAGGCGCATCAGTCTCAACATATTTGCCCGACACTATTGAGAGTGGAAACAATGCAGAGGCCTCTTCCAGTCACTGGTAGGAAAATATAAAGCGATCCCTTAAGTACAGAAGTTAATCAGACTGAAAGAAGTTCTCAAGGGACAAAGACCCAATCTCATCAGCACCTTTGCACTCACCGATGAAAATTATGAGAAAGCATGGCAGAAGTTGGTCAGGAAATACGACGACCCTTGAATTATAGCGGAACCATTATTCAACAGGATCTTTAAATTGCCGAAGATCATCAAACCAAGCAAAGAGAACCTCATGGCCGATGCTACAGCAATCCTCGAGACAATGGATCAACTGTTCACAAAGACGGTAGTTTCAGAAAAAGACCTCTTCAAGCAGATGATAGTGCATCTCCTAAGACAGTCTCTAGACTCAGAAACACGAAGAGCCTGGGAGTCGATACTAAGAAGGTTAAAGCATTTCACCACTCTGCAAGGATTCACAAACTTCGTGCAGACCTGTGGAAGAGGAATCAAAGTTGTTTCCAAGCTTCATGCGAGCGGAAGGCATCCTTATCCACTCTCTTCTCGAGGTGGCTAATGAGGAAACAGAGGTACTGTACAAGCAGAGCACCAATCACTCATCAGTAGATCAGCAATACGTACTGCTGGCAACCACTCGGACATTAGCAGATTCACTAAAACGCCACACGAAAAGAGTTGTGTCAATACTGCTCCAGGCAGTCCACGGTCATCAACAAGTTCAGATCAACGTCCATGCCCTCAGGAAGCTCACCATTAAGCTGCGCATATTCCCGCTGTCCTCCAGAAGGATCTAAACGTTCCAAGGTCTACAACTTGTGGATCCACAATATTTTATACCGCGATCGATCGCTATTATCATCGGGTCTGAGAGCTACGGCCGTGTCATAGAGAGTAGAGTCCTCAATGCAAAAGAAATTCACCTAGTTGAGTAATAGGCAATATTTGGTTGGATCATGTCGGGTCTGGGAGTTTCAATGTTATCAGCGAGAGTGTCTCTATCAGCCGTAAGGAACTCATCCATCGAACAACTCATAAGAACAACTCCAGAGATTTTCGGGCCATGAAGAATCACTAATCAATTAATCATCAGAGCTACCATCAACTCGAGGCACATCAGCAGTAAAGATCATATAGTTAACAGTGTTTCCAGAGAAATAGCCATGAAAGAGCTAGCAAAACATCAACTATAGTGGATAGCACCTTAGAGACTAAATGAGGATCCTGAATGCTGGCCCTCATTACCAATAGACACTCCAGAGGAAGTCTCAACCGATGCAAAACCATCTTAAGCACATTCAGCAGCAGCAATCTCGGTTCGTGCACTAGCAGAAATCTTCGAGAGATATTCCACGCGACACAAGGTCCTCCACGTATCAACAATTTTCAACCGAGCCATCGACAAGTTGACAAGACAACCAACCAGTCCCTCAGACTTCCGCATTCATTCCAAGAGAACTAACAGAGGCCAGGCTATTCTGGGTAAACAGAGCTGAATGTCAATATTTTTCACCTGTTTTTAGAATTGTTAAAAGGAACCACCAATTGCTACGGATCGACCGGATGGCAAAACTGCCACCAATACTAGATGAAGAAAGCATTATAAGATTTGGTGATCGCTTTAAGAACACGCAATTAGACCTTGACAAGTTCCATCGAACAATTCCATCTCGGCAGTCTCCACTCATCAGTGTCCGGATTGAAGAAGCTCACTGCAGAACCCTCCATGCAGAGACTCAACTCATCTTGGCCTACACTAGACAGAAATACGGTATCACCAGTGGCCAATGCTCTGTGCGGGCTTACATCCGTCGCTGTGTCGTTTGCGCGAGACACCGAGGGAAATGAGCTGAACAGTCGATGGGCCAGTTCACACCAGTAAGAGTTCACTAATGAGAGCCGTTTTATACACGGGAATGGATTACACAGGTCCTTTCCTTCTCCTGAAAGGGCGACCCACAAAGGTAACACCATCATCATTTCATATGGCAGTATTTGTATTGTTCAGTACATCACCAGTTCATTTAGAGCTCGTATCCTGGCAAGTAACAGAAGCATTTATCGGAGTGTACAAGAACTTCAGCGGGACGAGACACCGAGAACTGATGGATGACCATCATCGGATTGCTTTTGCGGTTGAGTTCTGAAGTTCATCTATTCCATTATCGACTTCGTGCGTGTCTTTAATTGAATAAAAAAAGTAGAAAACAACACGGTCATAATCGGAAGTCACGGTGATCACGCACGACCAAAACAAAAAGTTCATAATCACACCGCTAGGCCATTTCGAATTTCTGTTCATAACGTTCGGATTTCAAAATGATACTAGGACGTTTCAACAATTCATCGACGAGCGAATACTTGGTCTTGACGACTTCTTGTTCGTGTATATTCGTGACATTCTTATTACTTCTGAGGACATCGAAAAACATGGTAAAGATCTTCCCAGGTTCTTCGAACGATTCTCGAAATACAGTCGAAGATATGATCAATTAAATTACTGGCAAGTATGGTTTAGGTCGATCGGAGGTTGACATTCTCAGATATTGCATGTCGGCCCAAATAGTTTCAACATTTCCAGTGACAGTGGAGACGACTGCTAACTTCCGTCACCCAATAACAATTCGACATGTGTCCGATTTCGTAAATGTGATCTTTTTTTATGGCACGTTTCTAAACCATGCTGCATGATTTCAAGCTCCTTGGCAGGAATATACTCAGGGCGTTCCCCTAAAAAGCCACATAATGGTCTCATCTCGCGGAGTAGCGAAAAGCCAACTTGCTGGTTTAACCGGACACACCAGTCCTTTTAACCATCGTCATCGATGCTTCCGAGTACTCTGTTAGAGCTGTTATCGAATACCAACGAAGCCAACACTGGAAACCGCTTGCCTTCTCCACTCAGATACCACAATCTTCGGTAAATAAATACTGTTGCGATGACGGAGAGCGTCATACTACCTATATTGCATTACGAACGTAATCAACGTAGTCACTCAATCTTCGAAGCATAGTATGTGAACATCTTCATCGATCACACGCTGTTGCTTCACACTTTTTCCAAAAATCCCGATAGGGAGAGACCAAGGCAATTTCATCGCTTGTATTTCATTACCCAGTTCTCCACCGACATCCAACACGTCGTCGCCGATCATAATATTCCCACCAATGCTCTCTTTTGCTTTGCGAAATTTTCCTCAACAGTCTTTACGAATGAGTATATAGGGCATCACAACTGGTAATTAGCGATCGTTTGACCAAAATTTCGAAGACATTTTCCACCGAAAACATTGTCACTAAAAATGTCACCCTCACGTTTTTTCCCGATTAAATCCACGGCTACGGGCTACCTCTGCAAAGCATGACCGAACCCTTTTTCCAACGCCCCGATCCTAAGCTCAGAGTCTAAAGTCCCTAGATTCGCTCCTCGAGTCCCCCAAAACCCCACTTTCCTTCTTGAAGAAAATTCTCAGAGGTAACCTATCTTTCCCCCGTGTCTCCAACGTACCTTAAAATCGAGGATGTTTCTTGTCGTCCGAAAACTTAACGGAAGCATATTACTAAAGGGGCTTTTAATAAATGCAAAGAACCAGGCGGATAACATACGTAATTTAAGAGGGGCTGGTTACGCTCTGCCGGGATCTGTCGGAAGGAAGGCGCTAGATTTCATTAGGGTTTTTATTGGTGTTGTCTATAAACCTTATAAGTGCCAAAATGACTTATAATCAGAGGTGAATAGGTCTCAAACTCAACTGAAATTAGACCTTCTAAAACCTATCTGTGGCTGATGCCGGACTCATCAGGTTCCATTATTCAATTTAGGAAGTTCACGACTTCACGAATTCTTCACGAATATCGAACCGTATTTTTCATCACAATGTATAGGAAGCCGCAAACACCTTGTAACGCATGCGTAAAATGTCACTTTAAATACAGTGTGCTCAAAAAGTATCTTACTTTGTTTACATTTCTCCTCCGGTGTTTCGAACCTCTTTGAGGTTAGCGGAGTCAAGGTCGGCATTGGACTGAATATTTCTCGAGGAACTTCTGTCACGTTCTGATTTTGGAGGGATTTGGCTAGAAAGGCTTCCAGGGGCGATCGTACGGCTTTGCATTTCTTGTGTGGGTCCAAGCAACTAGCCTTGAGAACCACATCATTTATATTCTTCGATTGAGGAACTGACCCACACGATCTTGATTTAAAAACAAGTTCAGAAACAATTTTTGGGCGAGTAATTTGTCTTGTTACCCCAACAGGCTGTTGTTTCTGAACTTGTTTCATCTTTTGATATTCGGGCTGTGTGGCTTCCAGTTCCTCAATCGTTTCTGGAATTACATCTATAGGATGGTCCATGGGTCGTCGTTCCTCTCCCCGATGTTCAATAACGTTGCCATTATTCTGCGGTTGTTTTTTATAGTTTGAACGACTCCGAGTACACAGCTGAGTAACGCAGCGTCGGTACTCGACCTCGTCCAATCTATAATCGCGTTGAACCCAACTATTAACAGCCCCTAGACATGGATGGATCAATCAAATGAAAGGTCAACTAAATAAATATTATCAAGTGTAAAATTCCATATATTTCAATCGAATTGAATTTCTTTGCTAATGAATTAGCAATTTGCTTCCGAATGGATTGATGGAGTCTTTTGAATTTCATCAGGATATGCGACAGTCTATCAACCATGCTGAGCTTTTACGCGTGTAACGTTATAGACCAATAGTGTTGCGTATAATATAGAGCGCCTGTCCTGAATTATCTACCACCAATGATTATCAAATAGCTGCGTACATTCCTGGGTATGGCATCCTGGTATCGCCTATTTATTCCACAGTTTTCGACCTCACTGCCAAACTAATAGCCCACTAGCAACTTTGCAACCATGTCACCATTCCCCTCTCTGACGGAAATCCAGGGAGACTGTACCTGGCTAAGGAACTGGACTAGATCAACGACAGCGCAGTATTGAATTATGAGTCTGCCACGTCAGCCATCACTCCTGCAGCCTCGGCCAATACCGATTGGCATCTGCACTTTTGTTCGCCATCCCGAAATTCACTTTCCCACTTGAGCAATCCTGTACTGGAGTGGCCATCCCCTAAATCCCGGCTGGTTCAGACCTACAGTAGTCCACCCTCGGCGTACCGGCCAAGTCATACAATTCCCCTGCAAAAATCACCGCTCCGCGAAACTGCACCCTCTACGGCAGCCGCATGGATACCATGGGAATACAAGCACCGGAGGACGGCCAACTGGCAGCAGAGATCCAGGAGGTGCCTCCAGAGGAACCATTCTTAAAGAGCCAACACAACCACCAGTACCTCAGTTGCCCAAGGGCCTCCCCACCCAGCACAGCCATTCGTCTAACGCCATGATCAGGAAGCTAAAAGAGTTCGCTGCTATCAGTGCCATGAGTACAGATGAAAGAAGCACCATGGTCGAGACTCCTTCACCTGCTCGAGAAAGCAACCGGCAAGAGTCGAAGACTGGGTTAAGGGGCTCGGATCCTCCGACTATCTATGCCGTATCTATCCAACATGCCCTAGCCCTCTCTAGCCAGCATCGAATCACGGACACATGTCTGGGAAAGCCAATTACAACGCGAAGCCACTACACGTCTGCTGGTAACGAAAGCCCAAGAACTGCTGCCACCATGGACGGATCCAGGATCCACGAATCTAAGAGGAGTAGTTCCAAAGAAAATGTACCTGCTGGTAAGACCGCCCAAGGTTCTTCTCCCAAAAGTTCGATTGCGAATAAGCCATACCTTCAGTTGACTTGACAATAAACACGATTAATCGTTATCATTGAAATTTTGTTACCTGTCTAACCTTCGTTTGAATAATTAAGTCTATGTAACATTTTATCTTTCACATGAAAGGTTGTTACTTCTACTACCTACGAACGTTCCGCAGATTTTTAGGGGTATTCATTTTTTAATGTCCACTTGCGATTTAACGATTCTATTATTTTAGGGTACATTTATGGTACAAGTTACTGAAATGTTTCTTTTTCCGCTTTGATTCAACCTCGGGTTATCACAAAGAGCAACTGGCGCCCATAAAGTTTTTTTTTTTTATCGGGGCAATAAAGCCGGGTAACGTCCGGTTTTTCCTCAGAAAAACTGGCGACTTTACATGAGTTATAGTCAATAAAAAATCAGCTACGTACATGCATACAGACGCAGCCTAGTTTCGCCGGATTTGAGTTCAAAAAACATTAATTAGTCATTGGGCCACAAAAAAACGGAAGGCGACAACTTAACGACTACAATGTTTCCATTCGGAAGCAATAAAGGTAATTAGGAGCATAATTGAAACTGATTCGGACAATTCATCAGACTGATGAGGCGAATTTTAAATTCGAGTTATCTAAGAATGTTCAATTTGGAAGTAATTACTAATTTATTAGCAAAAAAAAGCACATGCTGGAAAAATATGTCCCTTAGACTGCTGAAGCGCATAATAGACACTCTTTACGACTCACATCTTCCACTGTGATACACCTCCTTGGGAATTGGATCCTTATCTTTGCCACCGTAGATTGTCATGTTTTCCAAACGGTTCCCAAGGAGGCATCGCAAGAGTTCGCAAATAAGGTCTCGGGGTTTATTTCCGCTCCGCAAAATGGCTCTCCGGACCCACCTCTTCTTCAGGAAGATTCCTGTACTTGGATAGATTTCAATCTACGGAAAAAGTTTAGAACCCGTTAGAACTGGAGTAAAAATTCCATCATTCTTCAGTCACATTAGTGTGGTTATGGCCAACACTGTATCGCATTTGCCGCCTCGTAGTTCCGTGCTGTTCTCATTATCAGAACTTGTAAGTTTTAACGTACAAGTTTCGGCTCACTTTAAGCAAGCTTCGTTTAAGTATTCTTTTTTAGAATATCTGACATAGACCGTGAATATCAAAATATAAGAAAGTCTTATCATGCGAGTGCTGACAAGTTATTTCATGATTGACAGTTGCGTCGTATGGATAGTACAAATTTTCAACGTACTTCATGACCACGTCCGCGGGCTGGAGGAAGCAGATTATATTCCTTATCGTCAATGGTCTTGCGTATCTTTTGGGGTTTTCTTTCGATTTCTGGAATGAAGTATGATAATTTTAGAGTAGGTAGACACTTTCAGATGAATGGATAGCTGAGAAGACATGACATATAAGATAGAGAATTGGGAAATTGGGATCATCGGGAAGATACATACTTGATACATTCAAACGTGGAAAAAATTGTACTGCACACGAATTGGCGAGCTAGCAGACAGGAGTCATGGGTGATTGACAAACAAATAAAGTTCGGGCCGCCGTGAGTATCGGGAAGTCCAAAAGGTTTTAGGACACTTGTGTCACAAATAACATGACCCGAGACATAAGACACGAAATACGGGACAAGGTATGAGACAGGAAACACACAACATAATCCATTGATGGGTTCCAAAATTTGTGGCACGCATGAATCATGAGTCGTGGAATACCTGGTTCGAGACGTGAAACCTCACGTATCACAATGTACGAAAGGTACACCATGTATGAAAGGTTCTCCTGGAGACACGAGATAGAAGGATCTACGCGATATTGAATGATATCGTAATGAGGTTACGATATCGACACGACATCCTATGCATTGACAAATACAGAAATCCAAGTTAAAATTTGGCTTAGGTCTGGATTAAGTTTTGATGAAGTGAGCTTTAAAGTTCGGTCAGGTACTGATTCTGCAACTTGAAAAAGACTTGTTCTGACATATGACCCCTTCAATTGATCCGGATTTGATGGAGAGATAGAACGCGGGATCTTACAAGTACTATTCCTACAGTTTAACCACTAGCCTGTCGCGTTGTTATTATTGAGTAAACTGGGTTTTCCAATACGATTCGTATTGGGGATAACTGTTCACTTTAACATTATTAGGAATCTCCTGAATTCGCACACGTACTGCACAAGCTAACATTTATTCAATGATAATTTCATCGATTATATTTTGATAATAATAATAATTATAATTGTTGGTTTGATACATTTACTATGAACATATTTATAGCACTATCCCTTCCTCTTTCGCGCAGTGAATTGATCCCGTTTATCCCCAAAAAAGATTAATAGATTATGAATTGAATGGTTTTGTTCAAACCCACCTAATTTGAACTTAATCAGAACGGTTGCCGGATTACCGCATGTCAAGCCACATTGATCCCTCAGAGCCTGATACGAATATTTGTAGGAGGACGGATCTTAGTTTGAGTTCAGGCACACCTCATCAGAGCGTGATCAAAAAATAACAGACAGATAGTTCAATTTTAAGTCAAATTGTGCTGATCGAAATCTGATTGGAATGATAGCAGGTGGACGGGCCTGAGTATACAATCAGTCTCACCCCATCGGAATTTGATCAAAGTGATTATAGGTAAACTAACTGTAGGCTCAGATCAAACACAGCATATCAGAACCTGATCCGAGGAATAGGGATCAGGCTGAGGAAATCAAAGACTGATCATTTCCTCATGATATCCTGCCTGATGCATTGAAACTGACCACTGCCATTTCAAGTCCTGATCAAACCCCAGATTTGCCTGACAGGACTTTCACTCGGGAATGCTTGAGAGTCACGCGAATATTCATAGCCGGAATGGGCAGTTTAGCTTCATTTTGCAAGTGAATTGTCAATTTTCAAGGTTAATATATTTTCATATTACAGAAGATTCATAACCTGATAAAAATTTCCGAATAGTGTATCTGAAAATTCAGTGGAACATTTTTAAGAATGTAGAATTTACCAAGTTCGTCTTCAGTCTTTCCTTCGGAGATCGCGTAAATTTGAGCGAGTCTCTCATGACGCTTTTCTCTTATCTCCCGCACGTCCCCATCTCGCTCTTGACTCAGCTCATTTCGTGGCTTTTTTCCTCTCTCAGGCGTTTCTCCTACCTCAGTGCTATCCTCTGTTGCTCCCTCAGCACTCCTCATCAACGCACCTTCAATTTCATCTCCGTCATCTCCGTCAACATGAAACTCATTCTCATCATCGCTTAATGATTTTTCACTCAATAATTTAGCATTGAAATTGTTCGTTTTGTTTTTCAAAGGTCTTCCCCTTCTCAGGAGCTTAGTCCCTCCCGGAGAAAAGTCCATCTTCTCTAGGTACTCTTTATCGTCTGAAAAAACGAGTGTTTCTCGCAATTTCATAGATAAAATCTCACGAGAGAAATTCTGACCGAATTTTAACTTGTATTGAATTTTCTTATTGAATATCTACTAGAATAAAATAGAATAGAATTCCAATAGAATTCTGATAGAAGTCCTATACTCGGATGGACCGAGTTCAGAGTGTGTTAATAGTTAGGAATTACCGATTTCCAACAGTTAAGAGAAAGTTAAGAATTGGGTAAGCGTTCGCGGTATAATGGGTAAACAGCCCTCCCTCTGAAATCTTAACATCTATCAAGAATAAATCAACTCAACTCACTCTTAACAGTAGGAAATCCGTAAGAGATCAACTCTCAACTGGGTCCGTTAGGTATAAAATTCCTGTAAATGTTCAATAGAATGTGGTAGCGAACTCGTCAGAGTTTCTATTTGATTTTTGCATGCCTCAGGCGAAGTTGGACAGTGGTAAAAATCTTCCCACTCATCACCAAAATCTTCCTGACCTCCCACTTTCGATTTTGCCATTCAGCTATTATTTTCCCCTGTAGATTAACGGTAATATCTTTGGTGGGTAAAACCGAAATCGAATTGTCCACTGCGACGACTGCCCATTGTGGATCGTCATCCATGGCGTTTCACTATAATTTCTAAAATAATAAAACAAAATTTTCATTACAATATTCCCATTGTGTGGAAAGTAATAGAATACACCCTTTTCTACACCGACTTCATGGCAACACTGCACGATCTGGAAGAAGTCGCCATAGCCATAGCCCCCTGGTAGGGATTGTGGGGGATCGGAGGCCCCCACCAGAAAAGAAAAAAACACAATTATTAAAAAAAAAATCAAAACTTGAATGTTACAAACAGCCACATTACAAAGTCAAAATCAAAATAATCGAAAATACTTTTGTAGTAAGTAACTGTTTGATCAATTTAACCTTTTGATAGATTCGCGCCAATTGACTGTTTCGTAACTAATATGTATAAAAAATGAACAAATATACTCTTAATGACATAGTCGTAATATAAAAAGGAGAAAGAAAATCGATCGCGAAACATCTCGAATGAGCACACGTATCAGACGAAACGGAGAAACTGTCAAACTTTTGGAATGAATGCCGTGCCGAAAAAATTTTCCTTTTTTCAATATCACCGTTTTATTGGGAAATATTCAGTGTTCAAGATTGTCCACGATTTTCATCTAAATTGGCGATTTTTTTGCAGTGCTTAGCACTGGATATATTTTCAAACGACAGTGATAAAAATAAAAGGTAAACTGTGCCGAAAATCATTTTGCTTCCGAATGGAAGCATTGCAATCGTTCGATTTTTCGTTTTTCTACTTTTTCCTGGAAATGACGTAGAACGGTCTGAAACGTAAAAATACGAAGGTTGAAGACGATGTGTGTATGTGATGATGGTCAACTGATTGTCAACTCTTACAAAAGAAGACGAATAAATGGGTAAATGAATTCACAAAAATCTGAAATTGGGTCAATTGATAGGTCGTAACATGGACTTTATCTGTACTGAAGTGGCGCCCGTTCGGTCGAGTAATTTTTGAAATGTCGGTGTTTTTTTCTGAAAGGTGTTTTGCAAATATCTCAGAAACTATCCCACCGACTGAAAGGATTTTTTCAAATATCTCAAAAACTACTCAACTGATTTTATTATTATTTTTTTTCAAAACATTCGTTGCATTGTCCCCAATTTAAATAAAACAAAGAGATGTATGCTTTCGGAGAAAAATCTGAAGAAATTTCCATTTTCATGTTTTTCTGAAGAATTTGAGTTAGGCATTCTCTGATTCGGTAAATGCACCCATCAGCTTGTTTAATATTGAATATAATCTCATTGATTGATTTTGGGAAGCGGTAGGTCTGGCAGAGACAGTGATTGGAGTGATTTAATTTTTTGAGAATTGTGAATTCTCTATCAATTTGCATTAACCACTTAAGGACAGGGCTCTTTTGACACTAAGTTCGCCGTTCTCTTAATATCTGAAATGTTTCCCAGTTCAGTAGTTTGGCGAGATAAGACGTTCTGAGGGTCAACTTTGCATTTTGTTTTGAAATGATCGAAACGAGAAAATTCATTCAAAAAATCTGAAACTTTGAGGTACTACAGGTATTCCATCCGGAAGCCAACCATGAATGAAATTGATAGCAAAATAAATTAAAAGGAAAAAATAAGATGTGAAGTACCAATGACGTCTTCTTCCGTTAGGAATGGCTAAATGCGTGTTTTGTTTCGCAGGAGAGCATTTTATTTTCTTTGCCATATTACTTTTCTATCGAGAAAGATTTACGGTTGCAGACTGTTATCAATTCGCATGAAAATTGGTAAATTATTTTCAATGTTTAGCACCCGATATATATTTAATCAGGAGTGATAAACATGGAAGAGAAACTGTTCCGAAGGATGTCGGACATTGTCTTGAACGGCAATGTCTTGACATATTAAAAAATTGGTTGCAACTTCATGTCAAATCCGATAAAAAATATCAGAAAAGTATAAAAATTGGGTACCTAACGGATATTAAAATGTTATCCTTTTCTTTGATTTCGATTTTTCACAGTTTTGAAGCAATGTGTTAATTAAAAAAACAATAATGAAAGTCCATAGAAAGTATTTAAATATACCGTAATCATATACTAGAGGGGAAACTAAAATATAAATAAGGGATACTGAATGTATATTTTTAATATGCTGCATTCATATTAAAACTAGCCATATAAAAATATACCTTTAATATCCCTTTTTTATTTCCTTTTTAAGTACTTTTTCTGTGGTTTCCGGATCTATCCATAATCAAATATGAACAAATAATGCTTCATTTAGACAAAAAAGACAAAAAAATTATAAAAATAGTGTATTAAAGGGAGGAGAACAATATCAAAATAGCCCATCCAAAATATACGGCCAATTTCTAGACCTATAAAGAACAGCGGGTATATTTCATTTTTGCATGCAAGCATTCTACGAAAGGTGATTTTTCTCTCTCATGAGATTTCCTCCTACTCTATTGTGATGAGCAGCTGTTTGTGGATTGCAATTGTCATTTTGCACCGTCTCCATATTTCATAGCATAAAAAGTTGAAAAAATGTGGGCTTATGTGCTTTACACTGGGAGTCATCCGAGAACAACAGACATTGTTCAATTTCAAGAAATCGAAAGGAGTGAAGATAGTTCGAAACTCAAAGTGAGGTGGGTGAATGGTCGAAAATATATTGTGAAGATATTGATGAGAGACGGTAAGTGTAAATTCTATTCAAGGGGGTTAAATTTTGAAACCATCATTATTGTTCTGAAAATTGCAATAGACGATAAAAGTCGCCTGGAGAAGTTGGAGTTTACGCAGTCTGGACAACTGATTGAAAACAATGCCCCAATAGAAAAAGATGAGGCATCTAAAGATGATGCTCTCCTTCGTGGGGTCAATCCAGTAAAAGATCGTACATATGATTCCTCGAGTGAGGACGAACCGTCGATCAGTGCAACCAATCAACTGTTTATCCGTGAGAGCTCATCCAGTGAGGATGATGTTACAATTACTCGTGCGTTATTACTGGTCTCAATTTTTATCAACTGATTTAATTATCCACAATTCTAATGGAATTTTTTGTAGCAAAAGTGGAGTATTACCTTAGATTTTTCCATTGAACAATGTTATTAACTTTTTTAAATTTCAGTGACAAAGTCACTTGTATTGTCAGGGTTCTATATTTATAAAAACCTATACCACATCTAACACTTTGAATTTTCAGGGAAAACTCAAGGCGAACCTCAGAATGTTGACTTTGCTAGGCCACTTGCTGATGACGGTGCCCCTAACTCATTTACCGATGCTCTCCCTCCCAGTGATTCACCGCAAACCCGAAACGAAGTCCAAAAACAACCCCAAAATCGTCAGCCCTTAAATCAATCACAGAATCCCTGCCAGGATATTCTTGATTCACCCCAAATCCGCAAAAAACTCCAAAAGCAGCCCCAAAATCGTCAGCCTCTGAATGAATCCCAGAATCCGTCTCAGGATGTTCTTGATTCACCCCAAACCCGCGAAGAATTCCAAAAGCAGCCCCAAAATCGTCAGCCTCTGAATCAATCTCAGAATCCGTCTCAGGATGTTCTTGATTCACCCCAAACTCGCGAAGAACTCCAAAAGCAGCCCCAAAATCGTCAGCCTCTGAATCCATCCCAGAATCCGTCTCAGGATGTTCTTGATTCACCACAAACCCCGAATGAACTTCAAAAAGAACCTCAAGATCGTCAGGCGATTAATCAATCCCATAATCCCTCCCAGGATGTTCTCGATTCACTCCAAACCCGCAAAGAACTCCAAAAGCAGCCCCAAAATCGTCAGCCTCTGAATCAATCCCAGAATCCGTCCCAGGATGTTCTTGATTCACCCCAAACCCGAAATGAACTTCAAAAACAACCCCAAGATCGTCACGCGCTGAATCAATCCCATAATCCCTCCCAGGATGTTCTTGATTCACCCCAAACCCGCAAAGAACTCCAAAAGCAGCCCCAAGATCGTCAGCCTCTGAATCAATCCCAGAATCCGTCCCAGGATGTTTTTGATTCACCCCAAACCCGGAATGAACTTCAAAAACAACCCCAAGGTCGTCAGCCGCAGAGTCAATCCCAGAATCCGTCCCAGGATGTTGTTGCAGATGGTGGTAGTCCTGGATTATCTGACGATCTTTTACTATCTGTCGATGAAGTCCAAGTACACGATCAAGCAACACCCTCTAGTTCCTGCGCAGAACTGGTGAGCCGATGAATAAATTGAGGAATCAGTTAATCAATTTATGATTGCATTCAATTTGTTTATTTTAATTTGAGTGGATTTGGCAGTTTATTTCTCTATTTTTGAGATAATATTTACAAGTCACTCTTCCAATTGGAATGTTTACACTTCACAATCAATTTATTTTATTAAAAATTTAATTAATTTATTTACATTTCAATTTATTTATTGACGATCATATTTAAACTCTATTTATTTACAATAATTTTTTTTTGGCTGAATTTTACGTTGATTGACCCATTTAAATACTTTATCCAGATCAAACTTTCGGATGATTGCGACGTAAAAATCACGAAAAAAGCCTTGAAGTCCATCTTGAGAAAAACTCGCAATAAACCATCGTTATTAATCCGGCGTTTTTTAGAAGAACTTGTGGGTGTGGAGCGACTACCTTTACTGAGAGCCACCGGACGAGATGGCTGGAACCGAATCGATTCGGAAATTTTAGAAGCAATTGAAGATTACATTGTAAACAATTGTCCAAGTCCCCCATCCCATCAAGAGTTTATGATTTTAGTTACTAAATTTTTGTCTTCTTTACGTTGATCACTTACCTGAATACTTAATTAATATGTACTGTTCTTTATCTTTTGTTAAATTGAATAAAAAGAAATCAACTGAACATTCCGACTATTTTAAGATGAATTATTACTCAGTTATTACTCATTCTTACTAAATAGTGCAAAAAATTAATTGAGCCTTCCGGTTATTTGTATAATGTGCATAATTTTAAGTGTCAATTATATCGATTGCGAGAGTTTCGATCTGGGAACACCCTAGTGATAATTAATTCTAGGGCTGAAACTGATTCTGCACATGCAACCTTAGTCCTTTATTTATACTTATTTGCTTCCGGTTCAAATGATGACTACGTTAATTTCAAATTTCACGAATGGAGCGTACTTTCCTTTGTTTTATTTTTGTAAACGATTTTTATGCCATCGGTGCCCGTAATCGCGCGATTCTAACCTCGCTTCGCTCGGTTAAATGGCGGATTCCGGGCGCGATGACATAAAATTTTGTATGAAACGCGTGCGTAATATATTTTTCGACTCGTGGGATTGTAAAACTCGCCTTCGGCTCGTGTTACAAACCCCCCACGAGTCAAAAAATATATTACGCACGTGTTGCATAATATACTAATTTTGTCAATCAATTTATTCATGGCGTACCGTCAAAAAGTTCCAATAAGCCGAATAAGGATGGATTTACCTACTTGTTCGACAACTAATAGTCTTGGCGATCTTATGGAGCCAGGATTGACGACAAAGAGGAAAAGGAATGAGAAATCTACAAATAAAGGAGATAGATTTCCGAAAAAACGTAAAATTCTACAGAATAATATTCATGAGGGATATTGCTACGTATTCAGTCATACAACGAAAACTGCCATGTATGGTTATTCTATGCATAAATTTAACTCAAAATGTATAAAACCCTAGATCGGAAGTGAAACTTAACTCATGTTGTCTTATTTTTTTGTGTAATTAGAAAAGTTATTTGCAAATACCATCGCCGACCTCTAAAAGGAAACGCGCCATGTCCGGGTCAAGCGATGATAATTAATGGAGAATTCATTGTCACTGAAGACCATAGTCATGAAGCGAAATTACTTGCTCAAGATGAAAAAAATTTTCATGATGATTTAATTCAGATGACGAAAAGCGGCCGCGGTTTGAACAGGGACATATTCGACGATTGCATAAAGAAGTAATTTTTTTCATCTTTAAATATTCCTGCTGAAATCGTAAAATTAACAGAAATAGAGTTAAAAAATCTGAAATTTAATCTATTGCATCACTCCTATATATACTCGTTCAGAAATCATTATTATGATTTTCGAATTAGGGTAAAAAACGTAAATTAAGTTCAACAGTGTATATACCCAAGTAAAAATTGGATTTTCAGTAAATCGTACACTAAAAAAATTCTTTGCTCTGGAAATAGCCACACAACGGTGAGCCATATTGCTTATGCAAAAAAGGAGAGAACCATGCGACGAAAAAAACTGCATGTAAATTCACCATACCCTAAAAATCTCGAGGAATATGGGACTTTTTTGCAGCAGCATGAGTATCAGTCTCTATTGACTTATCCAAAGGGTCAACTCAAAGCTGAAATTCTCAAGGATGATAATGGAGACATTTCCGTAGTAATTGGCGACAGAGAATTTGTTAAATCCCTCGTGAAAAATGTCGAACCTTGGAGTACCATTATTTATTGATGGAACTTTCGACTCGATTCCAAGGAAAGTTGGTGTTTTACAGATTTTGGAAATCCAACTATGCGTATTTGATCACGTAAGTCTCGACTTGTTACTCTTTATTATCTACCAAAGAGAACATAATGGTTTAATGCAGGGAATTGTAATTGCTCATGCCCTGATGTCGAGAAAAACTCAAGAAGCATACAAGTCTGTGTACAAATATGTTTTTGAGGAACTAGCTCCAGAACTAAAGATGGAAATCCGAGTGCATATGGATTTCGAGCTGGCTGCAAAAAACGGTCTATTAGACGTTGTACCCATGGCCTCTATTGGACCTTGCAATTTTCATTTTACTCAAGTATAAAAAAATTATGTTCTGTATTTTAGCGATATAATCATAGAATCAAATTTTCTCGCAAAAGAGATGTTTTAAAAATATGAATTCGTACTACAAATACCTGAAATGTGTCACAGCCACTCCGCCAAATTCTTATCACTTAAACACCACCGACATCTCATTTTTTAGTTATTTTATCCTGATTTTACTCCTTTATTTTTTAAGGCCGTAATAAAACAAGCGTATGCGAAAGGCGCTATTAAACGCGAGAAGAAGAGAAAAAGATCTGGGAAACCAAAGAGGAGAGAGAATGAACACGATGAAAAAATTTCAGGGGCAGTTCAGAGACATTTAAATCTAATTTTGGCATTGGCCTTCTTACCTGCTCGCTTTATCGTCCCCATGTTCCAAAAAATCAAAAGTGCAATTGATAATGTCCAAGTACAGGCTCGAATGAAATCTTTTTTTGCATATTTTGAGAATCAGTGGATAAAAAACATCCCCCCGGAGCAATGGTCGGTGTACAAAGCTTCTCGGCGAACAAACAACGCGGCGGAATCTTGGAATAGGATCTTGCACCAAAAAATTGGAACAAAACCGACTCCCTGGGATTTCACAAGTAACATTAACAGTCAATAAATGAATAAATATGATCATTGAAATTGCCAATTTTTCAAAGGGTTTTGAGTTTTTATATCTATAGACGGGAAACCCTTTTACACCTCCGCATATTTTATTTCATTTCAATTTGAACATAAGCAGTGTAATATTCAGTGATTAATTACAACACTAGGAAAATTAGCGGACGTGCAAAATCGAGTCGCATGTGATTACGACGCAATTGTGAACGGTATCACACGATATTCATTTCGGTGGACTGATGAAAAAAAAGAGAGAACTTTGCGTAAAATTGAAAAAAAATTAAAATACAAAAGGTACACCCCGTGGGAATTCGTGAGGCAGGCAGCTCATTGTGTCAACTTTGAAAAAAGTAAGTATTAAAAAACTAGTTCTGGATCTTATTGCTTTATATTGTTTCGAATTTTAGAGTACAGAGAAAGACGAAGGACACAGGTCAAAAAGGACACATTTGAGTTGATTTGTGCTCAACCAGGGAGTATGAAAATTTGGATTAAGAAAGTTCACAAGCCGTGATTGACTGGAATGAACTGTGTTATGGCTGATGTGAGATAGATCATTTCACTAGCGATTATGATTATCATATATGTATATGGCATCATGTTCGCCTCGAAAAATAAATACATATAAAAAAAAACCGATTGACTTCTTTCTTTTGAATATATGATGATAAATATAATTTTCTGGTGCAATTTTAATAATCTCCTGAAATTTTGAAAGGATTTTTTAAACAAAACATTTTGACCTCCTATTGATTTTATTCTAAAATTTTTATTGTTTAAAAAGTTTTCAAAAATTTTAAAAAGTCGAGTAAAATTTTCAACTTTACTCTTTCCTCTTAAAAATTGAAATTAAAAGTATATTTGGAATGGGCTATTTTGATATTGTTCTCCTCCCTTCAGTACACTATTTTTATAATTTTTTTGTATTTTTTGTCTAAATTAAGCATTATTTGTTCATATTTGATTATGGATAGATCCGAAAACTACAGAAAAAGTACTTAAAAAGCAAATAAAAAAGGGATATTAAAGGTATATTTTTGTATGGCTAGTTTTAATATGAATGCAGCATATTAAAAATATACATTCAGTATCCCTTTTTTATATTTTAGTTTCCCCTCTAGTATATGATTTATATAATAAAGAGTGGAAAGAGAATAAAGAAGATATATCGTTAGTATTTTGTTCGATTGAAAATAAGAAAAGACAAAAACGATATAACTGTGCGACATGAAGTTGCAACCAATTTTTTAATATGTCAAGACATTGCCGTTCAAGACAATGTCCGCGACCCGTTCCGAAAAGTCTTTTATGTCACTCGGTCCGCCCTAACCTCATATTTTTATTGTCCTAGGGAGGTAAGTGGCCGCTTATCGCCTTCATTTTTAATTACCTCCCTCGGGAAATAAAAGTACTCGGTTAATCGGGCCTCGTAACATAAAATAACATATGCTACATGGTCTGAAAAGCATTTTAGCAACATATTCGATCAGGATCCGCGCCGAAGGATATAATCCCAAAATACTTTTCAGCCCTTGTAGTATAAATTACTATTGAATTTCGCAGAGGACGCTTTTCGTTATCATTTTTCCTTTACGAAATATTAACTGTTGAAGATTATTGATAATTTACATAAAATTGGCAAATTATTTGCAATTTTTAGCCCACGATATTTTTAATCATCATTGATAAAATTGGAAGGTAAATTGGACCGAAAAGCCTTTTTAATTTAGAGAGGAGCGTTTTTTTTCGTTATCATTTTTTCATCGAGAAATATTAACGGTTAAAGATTATTAACAATTCTTATGAAAATTGGCCAATTTTTGGCAATGTTTTGAATCTGCAGTGATTATAATCGCAAATAAACCGTCCTGAAAAGTCCTTTTAATTTTGAATGAATCAACGTGTGAAGCACACGCGGATGACTTTGTTATAAAAAATAAAATTCTTTCATCAACGGTACTCTAACCTATGCTGGTGAGACGCTTTGGTCATAGGGCCAGCACGCTGACGACGAGCCCAAAGACGTCCTTGAATTATTTAATTTCATTATAGAAATATTTTGGGACTATTGGACAATAAGGAAATATTTTAATAATCAAACTTGACCTAGATTCAATTAGATAAATATATTCTATTAGAAATATGTACGCACTTACCGGATGCAGCTAATGGTGTAGTTAATCAAAAACCGTCCTCGGTTAACCTGTGAAATTCATCCTTCACTCTTGCGCTTCGCCTCCTATACTCTAGTGAGCTCCTAGAGGAAATTATCGCACCTTCAAGAAACTTTTCTTATCTGAAAAAAAATATTAATTAAATTTAAAATTGCCCGTACAACAAAAAAATTTTCAAATAAAAATTCAGGGAAGAATTGTGGAGAGCCAAGGAAGATGAGTACAATTGACTAAAAATTATTGATTAATCCAATGATTACTTCGTTTTTCCGTACGGAAATGTTCGTAATATCCAAGTCCAGATGTAATTATTTTTCTTTCTTTATTGCAATAAAATTTACGCAGCAGCTTCAGATATCACCTTCAGAAAAAAATGGACGAGATTTGCCATCTCTCTCTCACAAATATTTTTCACGATCTGAAGTTGCTGCACCACTAAAGATTTAACGGAATTGCATCGCAATTAATTGAAAAAATAATTACAGCTAAAATAGGAGTTTCGGGTCGATTTTTTACGGAAAAATAGAGTAATTCCTAGTTTTTGTGTCATTATACTAATTGGACGATCAACCGAGCACGCCGCGAAGCGGCGTGCGAAGCTTGATCGCAATTATGTGGCGTTGTCTCGTTCGAAGAGGTCACTATGTAGTACCGCTACTGCTCACGTGTTGTCGCCACAGCCTTTAACGGAAACAGGAGAAGAAATCTCCCAACATGCCCTGTCCCTTGTCATAACGTTTAAAGTAAAAGTAAGCGCACAAAGAGAGGGTGGGAAGAAATATGATTATTTATTGAAAGGGTGGGAGTGACCTCTTCGAACGAGACAACTCCACATAATTGCGATCAAGCTTCGCACGCCGCTTCGCGGCGTGCTCGCTTGATCGTCCAATTATATCTCGTGTCTCGTTCTCGAGATCACTATGTAGATGTTCAGAGTAAGTATCTCGAAGAAATGAATGGTCCTTTATTTAAAGTTTTCAAGAACAACATGGTATAAAATGTTTAATAACTGAAAGTAATATTAGAATTATCCTTCCTTTTATGATTTATCTTTAATATTTAGAACAGCCCTGGAAAAGGTACGTTTGTCGGCAATAATAGGCCTGTTGTAAAACTGATTAAATACTTGCGATCTCTCAGACCAGCCCGCAAGACTCTTTATTACACTTAATTCAACCCCTTTCTTAAGGGCAGTTGAAGTGGCTGCGTGACGCAAGCTATGTGGGGCAAACCTTGAAGAGATTCCACATGTCGCGAGGAAACTTCTGATCCATCTGGAGAGCGTATCCCTAGAAGCCGGCCCGTAGGGTTGTTTCGTGGTGATGAAGAGAGTTTTCGTCTCTCCACGAACCTCGGTCGTTCTCTGAAGATAATGCGATAGGGTGCTTGCGACACATAACTGAGGGTGATTCTCGAATCTAGGGATATGCAGTAATGGTTGAGACCTACCCCGCTTGGAGTTCTTGATTTTGTCTGGGATTTCGATATGAAAATCTCCCGATCTCTGATGAATATTTTCTATTTTAATCAAGCTCAGAGTCTGTTTACGATGAGCTGTCACCAGGGCTAAGAGAACCACCAACTTAACTGTTAAACGGGGCAGGTCTAATTCTGCTAATGGGAACATGCCGTTTAAACGTTCAATGACCGGGTCCAGGTCATAAATGTGATCGTATTTTGGTTTAGAGGGCCGGTCATTGAATGCTCCCTTTAAAATACGAGATATGAGGGGATTCTTCCCTATTCTATCCCCACAAATGAATGAAATTGCAGATCTGTAGGTGTTTAATGAACTATAGGATAAACCCTGCTGGAATTTACTAGTTAGCCAGTCGGCGACCTGCTCCACCTCTGGCTCGTAGACCTCGAATTCTTTATTCCTGCAGTATTTTTCCCATTCTACGATGGGCTTAGAATATTGTTTGAGTGTAGAGCTTGCAATTGACCTGAGGAGAAGTTCTATGGCTTCGTTGTTGAAATTTCTTCTTTTATACCCCTCCCTGATAATCGTGCGACCATCAAGTTCAGCTTGTGAGCCAAGGGATGTGGGTTCCTAGAAACAGACAGTAAAAGGTCGTTTTGAGGAGGTAGATACAGCGGTTTGCCAACCAGTAGGGACAACCAGAGAGGGTACCAAGGTTGAGCCCTCCAATCTGGTACCACCAAAATTCCACATGCCTGGTCAATCTTGATTTTTCTTAAAACTCTGAGTATCAGAGAGAAGGGGGGAAAAGCGTAAAAATAAAAACTCCAATCAAGGGTAAAAGCGTCCACTGCAAAGGCTTCAGGGTCCCGGTGCCAAGAACAGTAGGTTTCACATTTCTTATTAGCCTGGGAGGCGAATAAATCAACCTCAGGTTGGCCAAACCTGCTTACAACTTCGGAGAAGGCCCGTGGTGAGAGCTCCCATTCGATATCGATGTTTTTTGCTCGAGACGCCTCATCTGCCTCCACATTCTCTATCGAAGGGATGTAAGAAGCAAAAATCCATAATTTTTTTGATTCGCACCACTCCCAGATTGAACGAGTAATTGAATTGAGGTGTGGGAATTGGACGCCACCCATTCTGTTAATATACGATATGGCTGTAGTATTGTCAATTCTGAGTAAAATCTCAGTCTCTTGCAAGTCCCCAGCGAGTTCTTTCAATCCATTAAAAGCTGCCAGCAACTCCAAGTAATTAATGTGGCATCTTTTTTCATCGACAGTCCAATTTCCAAAAACAACATGACCATTACTGCTAGCCCCCCAGCCCGAACTAGATGCATCCGTGAAGATTGTCCTAGTGTAAACCGAATTTCTGATTGGATTTCGGGAACTCCCAACCTGAGACCTCCACCAGGCAAGTTCTGGACGTAAAAGGGGCCTGACTTTCATAGATGCCTCGTAATCCCCTTGCGATTTCAGGAGAGCCAAGTATCTCTCTCGTTCGAAGCACTTTGTATGTCCCCAGCCATATTCAACTGCGGGACAAGCTGCTGATAGGATGCCTACGAACCTTGCAAAAAGGCGGATAGAGCACTGGTCAATCGAACTCATTGCATCTAACAATTGGGAGATACTCTCTCGTTTCTCAATCGGTAGCTCGAGACACATGTCCTCCGAGTTCAAGATGAAACCTAGGAAGTGACATTTCTGTTGAGGGAGGAGAACACTCTTTTTATCATTGATAACTAGGCCGAGTGATGACAATAACTCCACTGTTCTGTGGACATTCTCGAGACAGTCTTGATAAGACTGACCCAGGCAGAGCCAGTCATCAAGATATACGACCGAAAGCAGGTGTTGGGTTCTCAAAAAACCCACGATAGGTTTCATAACCTTGCTGAAAATCCAAGGGGCTGTACTCA